GCTTTGGGTGTGTTTTTTTTTTTTTTAGTTTTTTTATTTGTTTGGGAGTATTTCTATGAAGAGTTGTCTGTGCTTTTAGGTGGAGTGGCACTTTGTTCTTCCGAGGCCATAGTGGGTAAAAACGCCACCATTTTTCAAAGCTCTACTTAAATGCTGACAAGGGATTGCTGATTGCCTTGCTGTGATTTTTTAAATGCTGTCAATTTAGTTACTGTTAACAGCAGAACGTTAATGACTTGTAATAATCCTTCAGGTTGACAGATGTGATCTAGAGCGCTTCCTTACGTAGAGGAGGGAGAAGGTGGGGTTTATTTGCGAGCTGCTAGAAGGGCAGTAACTTCTGTATGTCGTACTTGTCCCCAAGCTTTATATGTAACTTCAGGCACCGAAGGGAGTTTGCTGGCTTGTAGAATAGATGAGTTTGCTGAGAGGTGCTGTCTCTGACTGCTCCTGTATTGGTTTCCTGACATACAAAGCCCTGGTCTTGCCACAGTGTGTGGCAGTTGCGTGCTCCAGGTATTGCTTCCAGGTGAGAAAACAGTGAGCACAGAAGGTTGTAGGACAGCTTCATATTGGCTCTTCATGGTATTGCAGCCTTCGGCATCTTTGAACTTATCAAAAAAAGTTACCGCATCAAATGAAAGTATTTGTGGTTGGTTGGTGTGGGGGGTTTTGGTCACGTGGATGGGGTTTTGTTTTTGTAGGCCAGTGGTCAATATTCACAGCAGTTTAGGAAACCTGCTCACAGACTGCAACGCGCATTTGCATTCCCAGCTGGAATTGTGCTGAGAGCGAGTCGTCATTCTGCCTTACCCAACCTGTGAACTGAGGATTTCAGCCTTCAGTCAACAGGCTTTCCGCTGCTGCTGCTTGTTCTTCAGCTTGGTTCTGAAAGCTGCTGCTGGTTTGGTTTTGTTTTGGGTTTTTTAAATGTGATATTCTAATATAAATGATGAGAGTAAAACAGTTGACGCACTTGGTCTTGATATGTTTTTCTCTAGTGATCGGCTGCCTAACTTTTGCATTTGGGGAACATTAGTGTCTTCAAGTATTTTTTAGTTTGGAAGATGGAAGATTTTTGTGGAGGGTTTGTTTTAGTGTGTTGGGGTTGGGTTTTTTTTTTTTGAGGAAATGAGTTGTATGGAATTTACTCAAACTGTCTAATGTTAGGGATTGTATGAAGTGTAAATATTTGCAGGTCTTGCGTGCTCTGTGATGAAATACTGTTGTGTTAACTCCTTTCTCAAATGACTACTGACTTTTAACTAAATCTTTACTGTATCTAAAGCATTTAAAGAGATTCTGTGTACTATTTGCTAGTTTTAAGCAGAACAGTTTCCCTTCCCGCATTGGAAGTTATGTGTTCATGTGGAATCTGTTCAGGAGAGAGACTTTCTACTTTTTGGTGGTATGGAAGTAACTAATGAGTATTTTTTTTTTTTGAGCATTGTTCAGATGACCTCCACTTAAATTTCTGTGATTTTGTTCCTTTAATGTCCAGATATTTTAGGTACAGTTAAAGCCAGCTCTTCAATGAGGAGAGGTATGTAAGTAGAATGAAACTCTACAGAGGATGAACTGATCATAACAGAGTGGTGTTCTGGTAGGAGGTATGATTCCAATTTAATTTTGGAAACAAAAACTATTCAGCTGAACTTTGAGTGTAGTGTTGTGAAAACTGTTGATTGGAATAAGCTTTTTTTAGTGTGAAGGGGCAAGGCATTCTCTCACATGTCGGCGACTGGCTCTCTTGGATGCACCGCAAGAACAAAATACCGCGGTGACAGATGCCTGCATGAGGAATTCCCTTCCTCCCTCCTTCTGCCCCTGCGCCGCTATGGTGCTGCGTGGGAATTCTGTCCTCTGGCTGGTTGCACAGCCTCACAAAAACAGGGACTGTGAAGCGCAAGGCACTTGCCTGCGAAGAGTTGCGGCGTTACCTGCAAGGCAGCCTGCCTGCAGCCGCTACCCAGTGCGCGCAGCCTGCCGTCTGCTGAGGGACAGGGCCGGGGGGTCTGGCTCGGATGGTGACTTGAGAATTTCTGAGTTAATGACTGGATTTACGTGGAGAAAAAGGTTAAGTGGATAATGTTTTGGAGAGAGGGTAGAGAGTAGGCATAAGTGTGCGTTTCGTTCAGGGGTGTGTCGTGTGTTGCTGACAGAGATGGAAAAGCTTTGAGGAAGCCGGTCATTTAAAATGTTGGTGGTACCTCACTGCTTGGAGCTCCTCACAGTTAAAAGCATCTGTCATTCATACTATTCAGTGAGTTATTTCAGCCTTGGAAAGAAAGCTCTTATTTAAAATTGAAATTAGAGTACTAATTAAATTTGAATTTTGAAAGGAGTCAGTTTTCAGCCTCCCTTATCTGAAAATCCAAAGCTGTTAAACTACAGAATATAGGTAAAACAACTGTCTATACATTAACCGTTACGAACGGGGAAAAATTAAAGATACAATGTACAGGTTGGCATGAGCAGACCAAGTCATCCGGGCAGCAGAGTGGCAGATTTATCTAAGCCAGTGTTGGATATAAGCCACTGATATTCACTGTAAGGCATGGCATATTCTTAGTCCTTCTTCTATGTCTCTATGTTGGAATTCAGCAGACTTTTAAATATTTTGTTTCCATCTAAAAGTTTTGTTCAGACTCATATGCATGTCCAGAAATCATCTAATGTAGTCTTTTTTCCTCATCTATGAAAGTGAAAATAACTTTTAAATAATGCAATTTTAAGAACCTTATAAAATACTTACTAATGGACATGTTAGCTGTGCAAACCCTTAATTCTAACACTCGTCTAATTTGTTTTCAAATATTGAGTTATAATACAGTTGTAGAAAATAGTACCATAATGATTTGAAAAAAAACTTACAGGAGAAAAGTGGTGGCTTTTGGTGTGGTAAAATTCACTTTATTCAAATAATAGTCATATTGAAAAAAATGTTCTGTGACAATAATAATCGCTACTTAAATTGTAGATTAGAAAGCAGAATGAAAGCCATGTTATTGATACATCACAAAATAGTTGAGTGGTCGTCCTTGGTTTGCCTCTTCCTTTTTTTGGAAGAGGTTAGGGTTTAAAATGGACTGATTAATTTAAATGTGATATTGTAGAACCAGAAGGAAGATTATACTATGACATGTTAATTTTTTACACTATATTTTTCAGTGCTGTGCTATAAATATGAAATGACTGTAACTGTAAACTTCGTTAATGTGGGCTGCCACGATGCTTTATAAAGCATAGTTATCTCACAGTTACCATCAGTTGACTTTTGATTTGATACATGAGTTCTACCATAAACCTTTCTGTGTAGTAACCGTATATTCAGAATCTTAACTCTGAAGTGTTATGTTTTATCTTGGAGTGGGAAGACTCTTGCTGTCATACCAGCAAAACCAGAGAGTTATCTAGATGAAGAGAATAAAAGAAAGACCAAGCTTACCAGCACTGCTTAAAAGAAATCCAGACCTTCTCATTTGAAGGTAGAATGCAGTATATACTTTATTTTGGCAGTGCTTTATTACATGACTCAAAATTATGCAAGGCTTTTAACTCCACACACCCCACCCCCTGCCCCAGGGTGCTGATTGAGAACAGGAGCTATTTTTCTTTCTTCCTAATTTATGCAATTTTTTTAGTATTTCAGCTAACATGTCTCTGGAGTGCAAAACTGCATAAGATGTGGGGAGGGTTGATGTTTTTTGTGTTTTTTAATCAATGGAATAGTGAATGATTATGGTTCTGCTGAGTTTGGGTGGGGATTTTTGAGAGAAATATCTCTAAAAGTCAAATTTTAGGTAAAGAAAACAATTAAGAAGGAAGTTTGGATGAAATCATTAGTATTCTTTTGTATATCCTACTTTGGATTATCTGGATACTGGGATGGATGAAAAATTTTAAGTCAGTGTGGGTTGATTTTTTTTTTTTGTTGTTGTTGCTGTTACTTAAATCGAGACTGATCTTAGTTTTGATCTTAGTCAACTTTAATCCTGGATTGTGTTTGTAGTCTTTAATGACTATATGCTTCTTTAATCAAACTTCCCTTGAAGTAAAAATTGAAGTTTCCCTTACTTCCTGCAAACTATTTTTCTTCATTGCTTAAAGGCGTTCATCAAAAATTGGACACTGTCAGTGTTGATAGGTAACTGTGAAACATCTTTTACTATCATCTCGTATCCTGTGAAGGAAATAGAGCATTTCAAGCAAAACAGGAGATAATGTAGTTACGTGAAAATGTGACAATGAGTGGGATACTGCTATCGTCTGTTCAGCAAGCCAGAGTTATTCTTATACTTCAATTCTTACATGATTTCTAATGTGATTTGTGTGGGGTGTCTTGTTCATTTGTTTTATCTCGGTGACTCTGGCTCAGAGAGGTAATTTTTTGGTCTTTTTCTGTAAAAGCTCAAGAAAAGAAGAGTGGTTTCTTAATAATTACTTTTTTTAATGTTTAGAGTCCCATATAAAGCTCAGAGAGGCAATTTTTTGGTCTTTTGCTGTAAAAGCTCAAGAAAAGAAAAGTGGTTTCTTAATAATTACTTTTTTTTAATGTTTAGAGTCCCATATAAATGATGTCTTTGCTTGAATGTAAAGTTTAACAGTAGCTATCCAGTGGCAGAATTCTTTCAAATATGTTGTTAAAAGGTACCAGAAAACTTCTATGAAAACAGAAATTTTAGTTATGTATTTTGTTATGTTTTGTGTTGCTTCTATGGATAAACAAAAAGGCTTTTCATTATGGGACAGTGTGTTTAGACTTTGCATTTACTGGTCTTAACACAACACTCAGATAATAGTTTTATTTAGCGCTGTCAGGTATTTCTGTTGTTGATTTATCACAGTATTTCTTAACAAAGTTCTAAAATACTATTCTTTTTTTTTCCCCCCCTTGCCAGACCTTAATTTATTTTGGATTAGGATTCCCATGACATGTGAACTAGAAGATAATTTGAAATAGAAGGTTTCTTTATTCTGAAGTGACAGTCTTTATCAAAATGGTTGGAAAACTCAAACAGAACTTGCTATTGGCATGTCTGGTGATCAGTTCAGTGACTGTTTTTTACTTGGGCCAACACGCTATGGAGTGTCACCACCGAATAGAAGAACGCAGCCAGCCTGTGAGGATGGAAAGTGTGAGAAGCACAGTAAGAACTGCTTCCAATGTAAATGCAAACAAAACCTTTGCTTACAACAAAGACATGCCTTTAATATTTATTGGAGGAGTACCTCGGAGTGGCACCACCTTAATGCGTGCCATGCTTGATGCCCATCCGGATATTCGATGTGGAGAAGAGACAAGGGTAATCCCGCGAATTCTGGCAGTTAAGCAGATGTGGGCTAGATCAAGCAAAGAGAAGATCCGACTGGATGAAGCTGGAGTCACAGATGAGGTTCTGGACTCAGCCATGCAAGCGTTTTTATTGGAAATCATTGTGAAGCATGGGGAGCCTGCTCCATATTTGTGTAACAAAGATCCTTTTGCTTTAAAATCCTTAACTTATCTTGCTAGAATTTTCCCCAATGCCAAATTTCTTCTAATGGTACGGGATGGTCGTGCATCTGTGCATTCCATGATATCTAGAAAAGTCACAATAGCTGGGTTTGACCTTAACAGCTACAGAGACTGCTTGACCAAGTGGAATCGTGCTATAGAAACTATGTATAACCAGTGTATGGAGGTTGGTTTTGAAAAATGTATGCTGGTACATTATGAACAACTGGTATTGCATCCTGAAAGATGGATGAGAACTCTCTTAAAGTTTCTTCGCATCCCATGGAACCAAGCAGTGCTGCACCATGAAGAAATGATTGGAAAAGCAGGGGGTGTTTCCCTTTCGAAGTGAGTATGAGTGTTCCTCCTTTACCTTGTATTGGTCTAAGAGGTAAAATAGTACGTTTTGTGTATAAAAGACTAGTCATAACTTGGTTTCAGTTTTTAGGTAGCTAATGATGTCTTGGGAAGCTGATTTATGATGCATATTATCTGGAAAACAAGAATCATTGTTAACTAACAATTTGCAATCTCAGATTGCTCCTGCTAAACAGTTATCCCGCTAACAAGTGTACGGAGCATATGAATGAACATCTAATTGGTCAGTCTAACTTGAATTTGGATCTCTAGTATCAGCCTTACTTCCAGTATAACTTTGTTTTTCTCTGTGCCCCAAAATAAAGCTGGACTGTTTTATCTAGACTAATGTTATTCATCCTAGCAAGATCACCCCTTTGATTTCAGGAACTTAAGTATTGTTGTCAATGCAAGAATGGCCTTCGAGCTATATTTGCCAAGAACATACTCTTCCAGGAAACTTGAGAAACTGTTCCAACAAAATAGAAAGCAGAATTGGCGTGCCTCTCTGTTGGCATGTGCTCTCGAAAGCACAAGTATTTTGAATAAAATTAACCTTGTTGTAAGCAAATCTCTCAGTATTCTTTTCATGCCATATGTGCACCTCATTTAGCTACTTCCAGAAACCAAAATCCAGCTCTGCTTAGAAAACCTAAATTGGTATTGGGGGGGGTAAGTTAATTGTCCAGTTAAACTACTCTTGTTTCTTTGCCACTATTTACAGCTGAACTACTGAAATATGGGAGCTGGCTGGTCTTTACATTGAGGGGGGGAAAAGATGTAAATGTTTGAATCTCTCTTCCTGTTTTTGCTGTGGCAGGTGCATCTACCAGATTGTCTTGTTTAAGTTTCTAAAATACTGATTAAAAAGCCTTATTCCAGCAGCAAGGCATGCCCAGTTAAATTCCTTGGCTTCTGTTTTTTGAATATTCATCACTGGCCAAGTGCTGCTGCATAACAGAGGCACCTTGCACAGCAAGCAGCGTGGGCTGGGTAGAGACATGTCAAACTGTTGAATACAGCGTGATTCCATTTTTTTAAAAACTACAGTTTTGAGAGAGAAAAATTGGGAGGGTTTTTTGTTTAATGCCTATGGAAGTGACTGTGTGGATTTTCTAATATATTGTTGCGGAATATGATTTAAAGCAAATAACAGAATTATTAGTCAGCAGCTACAGAGAGAACTTAGAAAATTTACAGATTTACAATACGGAGGTTTCACATCACCATTCCCACTGAAGAAATATGGCCACCACAACTGTATTCACAGAGCTATGAAGAAGGCATCTCAACCCTTTTTTTCCTATTGTTCATTAGCAGATTGAAGCGTTCTGATAATGTTCACCTGAAGCAGTATACTGTTGTACTTCTCTGCAAGCTGTACCTGCATGTGAACTTCTCTTTAGTTACCTGTATTACATTACTGCTTCACAGTGGCAGCTGAAGGGGGAGTAAACTTACTTTTACTGATATAAATAGGTGGCTGCCAAGTTCTAAGTGCCCTGAAAAATAACTATGCATAATGCCATTTCTAGTAAAGTATTACTACCTTACAGATTCCAGATTAGCATTTTTAAAATTAATGGACCCCTATGCTATAAAACTCAGTAGCCTTACTGAATTCATACGGTTTCCAGTAATACTTCATGCTAAATCTGGTGGAATGGGATGTGAGAAGTTGAGAATACTTGTTCATGTCTCTAAAAATTAAGAAAATGGATTGTTGAAAGTAAAATGTGGCTTTGTGTTTGTTTTTGAATCAAACTTTCAAATTTAAGACAAACAAGTATGAAAGTGTTCTTGTGACCCTCAATTCAATCTGTCCGCTGAGTTCTTCATGCTTTTATTATCTCTCATGAGATGATATGTGAAAGTGATTATTATTTCAGAAGGCTCTGGCAATAGTGGAAAAAGAACAGGGTTATTAGTGTTATGTCTATGGTGTTTTTTATCTAATCAAATACCCTTGAAATAGGTGGTGAGATTTGTTTCTCAGTTGCAAGAGACCTTTATAATTTGATAATGATTTCAGTGACTCAGTCTTTTGAGGGCTGCAGAAAAAACAGTGAATATGAAATTCTCTTAGATGGCTGTTTTGTGTATGTATATATATATATGATACTAATTGAAATGGTGCAGGGGGAGCTTGAGATTCCCCAATCTGATTTCTGTGTACCAGTTAAAGCCTCCTGCTTTTGGCATCCCCAGCTCCTCACTGCCCTCTCGTGTGCAGCAGAGTGCTGTGGCCGGGGATGGCTGCCTGTCTGGGGTTCCTTGCCCAGAGCAGGGGGTAACTGCCCAGAAAAATGACCATTTGAAAAGATGTTTGCTAGGTAGTTTACTGAGAACATTAGTCTGCCACAGCTTAGCAAATTTTGACAGCTGAACAACATACACCTTGCACTAGGCTTAGTTTTCCTTCTGTCCAATTGAATTTGGCTTGTTCTCAGTTGCACCAAAATTCTTTACGGCCTCAGATGTGCGTGGCTGTTACGTTCTGGGTCAGGTTCTAATCAACGTTGTTCTCTTATGACTTAGAATTTCTCTTTGGGCTCACTGGAGAGTGCTTTTTACTTGACAGTGTGGATACTGTCTTCTTTCAGCTGAAACAAAGAGTCGAGCAGTGGGGCTTCATGTTCTGATTAGTAGCTTTCTCCCACCTGATTTTTCCGAAGGATGGGGCTGAAGATCACTTCAGTGATAATCTAAGGAAATTCAAAACACTGCTGTCTATTGCAACTCTGTGTTCTCACAGAGCTTTAATTTACCGCGTGCCTGGTACCAAGTGCTTCAGGCTGTTTCATAATATATATTAAAATCAGAACACTCAAATTATATTACTTTTTTTTTACTGGCAGGAGGAGATGATCGCAAGTATCAAATAATCTGTATTGAAATGTGATGTGCCTTTAAAACTTACCAACACATAGGCCTAGCCTCTGTAGCATAGTAGGGAGAGTATGAAGATCTAGATAAAATTATTTCCTCATTCATCAGCTAGGTATTAGGTAGGGTAGAAAACCTCTGAAGTCAAAGAATGAACTGCTATTACAATCCGCAAAGGCTGTGATACTGTGTAAAGACTTAAGTAATTGCACGGAGAAACCTGTTTCAATCATCTTCTACTCACCATTAAGACTTTCAGATTTTTCAGACAGGCTCAGCATCCGCTTCAGAGGCAGATGCCTGCTCAGGTCAGGTCCAGCATAAGATGCCTCGATGTGTTTTAACTGTTGGAGGGTTTTTCAAAAGAAATCTGATGTGTTTGTTGTCTTGAAATATTTTAAAACAGTTTGAGAAGCAGATCTCGGTATTGGTAAAGGATCTTTATAATGATGTTATTACCTGGTAACAGAAAGTGAATGTTTAGGAATATATTTTTAACTCATCTGAAATAGAAATTAATTATGTCAAATGAAACTTGTCTCAAATGAATGACCCTCTAGGTCAGGGTAAGGCATTTTATTTTCAGTTGTATACAGAGTTAAATTGTATGTGCAGGCTGTTTCTCTTCCAGAGATGATCTAGCCACCCAATGGCTTGCGGAATTCCTCAGGCAGTGAGCTGATTCCATTTTTCTTCTTCCAGTCTCAGAAACCCTTATGCAATAGTCTGTTAATAGCAATATTAGATACTAGACAGTTTGTATTTAAGATTCTGACTTCGTCTGTTCCCCTGGCTGCGTGATTTGAGGAAACTGTTGGCTGCCTTACTCTTTTCTCTGCATTTGCTTAGTAATCCCTGCTTTTTCTATTGCTCCTGCAGCCCTAGCCTCACTGTTGTTCCATTTTACTTAGTATTTTCACCCCTTATTTTGTTTTTTATCCAGCTGCAAGCAGAAACTCTGCAAGGGTTTTAAGGATGCACATCGCAGCATTTGTAGTAGCGGGAAACCTTCTGTGGTTTGAAGTAACTGCCAACGTGGCTGTTCAAGGAATGTATTATGGCTGGACTACATGCTATAACTAGTATTGTTAATGTAGCTCTGGCATTTGCCTCCTAACTGAAAACAGCTGTGGTGACCACTGATGCAAAGAAACATCAACTCTTTTATAACAATTTTTATTAGGCTTATTATGAAAATAGCTGTCTAGGCAAAATTACTTCAGAATATACTATTTTTAATACATACCTTTCGTTTGATTCTTGGGGTTAGTCCTGTGTTCCATGCTACCAGCTGCTTTCAAAGCTGAAACTGTTCCTGCGGTTTTGCAGTGGAGCCTGGAAGCACTGCCCAGGCGGCATTTGCCATGTGTGTACATAATCAAATTTGCCAAGACCCGGTATGTTTCCTTGTTTTGCTCTGTTTATTTTTTCGGGTGTTTCTTTCCTCCTGTCCCCAAACTGTCTTCCCCCATACTTGGGTCTGAAGACTCGTTCCCACAAATTGTGTTTTACTTTTCTTCCCACCTTAACTGAAAGGATAGAAAAGGATTTACACAGAAGACCAAATGTAGTATAGTACATTTCTGAATTGGTGCCTGGGAGCAGCTAAATGTAGTTCCCTGCTTATCTCTGCCAGCTGTTAATCACCAGGCAATGTTTCATGCTGAGCTTATTGTTACCAAAACCTAAAATGACAGTGGGGCAAAACACATGCTTTTACTAAAGGAAGAGGTATGCATATGTGTACTAATTTAGGTGCTAATTGATGTATAGCACCCCTTGTTTTGGGGTTCCAATGAGCTATTAGCCAAGCCCATTACCTCGCTGTCACAGATCACCCTTATTTTAAATGGTCGAATCAATCTGCAGGTTTGGTGAAGGGATTTTGGGTTTGGCTGGCTCTGTCTGAGAGGGAGAGGACTGTAAAACTTTTCAAACACCTAGTGATAAATTTTTCTCGAGGGTCCCAGCCAGCGTGGTTCTACGGACTCCTGACTCTGTGGTGCGTTGTCGTCTGCCTTGCTGCTTTGAGCTTCTGAAACTCAGCTCTTAACAGCGATTTTCTTGCTAACTTGATGTGAAGTCAGATGCTCATCTTCTAATTACAAGGATGAAAAAGGCAATGCCCAGACTCTTTAGTTTGCTATACAGACTTGTGATCTCAAGCCAATAGCTTTTGGGAAGGCTGAAATTCTGTCGCAACTCCCTGGTCCCCAAATCCCATTCTGAGTTCCTGCCTTTGGTTTGAGCTACTGAAAATGGTTGAAGAGAGTAAAGCTGAAAATTCTGGAGGTTGTCATACAGGGTTTTTTTTGTTTGTCACGTGCTTACTCATCAGCTTCCATTCAATACCTTTTGCAGCAATCTGTGAAGTCCCTGCTTGCCAAGATGCTTTCCCCGTGGGTGACTATTTCCCTGTCTGGTTTGTTCTTTGTTGATTGTGTTTAAAGTACTTAGATTACTGACCTTCCAGCGTTGTATGACTAACTTCCTTCCTCTGTCCCGGAAGAATTTTAGTTATGATGACAAGTGAAAAAGAGTAATAAGGTAAGACTGGTGTTAAGATCAAATTGAGTTAATGACTGGCAGACGTACATGCATAGCTTGTAATTTAAGGCTTTCATTGCATAGTACAGTGTGCATCTAAATGGGATGCCTCTTGCTATTGATTTAATGTTTGTCTGCTGTGCAAGGATTCTTCAACCTCTTCTTGGACTCATGAGGTTAACTAGATAACGGTAATCAAACTTTTTCCTCTTGTAAGTTGCTGATGCCAGTCTTGAGAGCAATTTGTCTTTAGTTTAGGCTTCTGGACTTGGAAACTATCCGTATTATTTCAGGAAACTGCCATTTATTTTTCTCAGAAGATGTTTTCTTATATTATGCCTGCTGTATAACTGAAGAATTAGCTGCTTAAAAATTAATTTGAATCTCAGTGTTCTCATTCTTTATCTTGGGTAGATGAGGTACAGGTGTTAGTCCTGTTAGTTTCAAGTATAACAATTTTGTTTTCTGGGCAGTAGAACTTTTTGAAATTAAAATTCTTTATGATGTAAATAAGGCCTGGGAAGGATGACGACTGCAAGTGGATGTGACAGCTGTATGCTCAGCATCAGGTTTGAGGCAGGTATAGCCAGCCAGCAGGAACTACTGATACAGTGGCATACCTTATAGTATTGCAGTGTAGATGCAAATATTCCTTTAGGCAAATTGTATATATAGAGCTGGTTTTTAATCTGCCTTAAAAGAAAGATAAATCTTGACATCCAGAATGCATGTGAACTCTTTGAGTTCAGAGGAAAAAAAAAAAATTTAAATTACTCTTGAGTAAAAACTCAGAGTTTTAAATTACTCGGTCTGTTCTGAGTCCTGCTAGCCTGTTTCAGAAATAAACACAGTAAAGAAGTTGTATGTGTCTTCTAATTTAAAAGAAGCAAGAAATGTGGGAAAACAAAGTGATGCCAGATTTCTTCCCTTGAGAAAAACAACAACAACAAAAACACACAACAAAACTAGGGTGACAGAATGAAAATTACTTTAGGGCTGTTGATTAAATGAGCAACAAATCAACTATTTTCTATATACAGTACATAGGATGCTGCTACGATTATGCACTTGCCTTTAAGAACTGTGTAATGACCAAACATTCAGTAAAAGGAATGATTATGAAAAATATTATTGCAGTCTGTAGCTTTCTGTCATTTCCATAGAGGTGTCTTTTGTTTAAGAAAAAAGTTTAGTCACAGCATGGGGGGGGCAGGAATAAATGGCACATGGATTTTAATTTAGAATACAACTTTCAAAAGCATTTATACAATGAAACAGCAAACGTGGGAATATGCCAGTGGGAAAACAGCTTTATATGTAGGTGTGTGCATACTTTTCACTTAACAGCTCTTTGGCTTTCACTGCAGTCTTTATGTGAAGAACTTGTTTCAGTATGTTCTGCATGAAAGCCTAAACCAGAAAGTACGCATGAATGTTGTGCTAGTTAATTCTCCTTTTAGCCTTATGTAGTAAAACTTCACTTCCCATAAGCTCTGTAGAAACATGAAAAATTGAGGGGGGGGGAACCCCAAACAAAATAAGCTAAAGGTCTTAATCCTGGTAAAGAAGCAATTCTTGGTTGGAATGCAAAATATAACCTTTCTTTCTCCCTCCACAGGGTTGAAAGATCTACTGACCAAGTAATCAAGCCAGTCAATGTGGAAGCACTGTCAAAGTGGGTTGGGAAGATACCTGCTGATGTTCTGCAGGATATGCCTGTGATTGCACCCATGCTAGCAAAACTGGGCTATGATCCGTATGCCAATCCACCAAATTATGGAAAGCCAGATCAAAAAGTTGTGGAAAACACAAGGAGGGTAAGGCATTTTTGTGTGTTTAATTATTGACCAAATGGATGTGAGCTATAGAGCAGAAGAGTCTTGTGTTTTGTTCAAGTTTGTTTCTAATACCTTTTTGATACTTTCCTTGCTGTGGGTGGAAGAAGAAAGAAGTGTGGGGGACCTCAAGCACTGAAAGTCTGGTTCCTGCTATTTGTCTTCAATTTGGTTCGTGTTCCTTTACCCCAACCCCGGGCTTGAGCTGTGTTCTTTGGTGTACGTAGCTGATCTGCTTGAGAATCATCCAGATAGTTGGGGAACTACTTAGTAATGGAAAAAGCTATCTTTCTCACCTGGGCATCAAACTTGATTGATAAGCTCAGCTTTTTATACATGACATTTGGCAGAAGCTCTGTCACAAAACCACACTGCAAATGCTTGGTAGAGTTTGAAAAGTGAGCCATGGAAAATGGCCCAAGATGATAAAAATGTCAGATTTTTCTAATTCTTTGCTGTCCTTTGTAGAACAAACAAAAGATGGAGGAAGGGAGGAAGGTCTGGTGCTGATTAACCTAAACTTAAGGATTTTAGTCTGAATTTAATGTTATTGGAATTTGAGTAGTTAGGCTATACAACTGTTTATCCCTGGAGGTATCCATTGAAAAGCTCATTACCATTGTTTGAAATAAGAATAATTAACTCTTTACTTCTGTTTATTAAAAGAAGGTGACTTGCTGCTGCAGCAAAGTAATCATTGGAAAAATTGAATTAAACAATTTAAAAGGACTGTCTTCTATTAGCCTTCCGATATTAAAAAGAACCGGGTTGGTATGCTGATGGACCTGAGGAAGCAAGTGAAACATGGAAAAAAAATTGCTTTTTGTGAAGTCTCTAAACATTTTCGCATTATTTCTTTTTAGAAGCTCTCCCTGGGAAACTTTCATTAAGCAGTTGACCAAAGGATGGCAGGTTGACTATTTTAATGGTTGTTAGCTCAGCATGGAAAAGGTAACCCACCTTTTCTGGTAGGGGTAGTGGTTAGCATTTCATAGGCTTCCCGGTACTTACTGTTTTAAAACGCTCACAAACAAACTTTTCTGCACTGAATTCAACCCCTTTAAAAGAAAAAGAAGTGTTCAATACTGTTTCATGGAGCCTTGAAAGCAAAGTCCTCATGCACTTAAATGTACATACTATAAAACAGTGACTTGGGTCCAAATTTGTATTGTAGTACAATAATTTAAGGTTGGTTATCTCTTACTAATACAATTTCAATAAGCTTTTACAGTATGGTGGCCTTTCTGAGGCCTCTGCCTGTGCATATTAAGCTCCGTCTGAGTTACAAAAATTGTATGGATTTCAGTTGCTTACTGTTGGGTGGCTGCTTGAAATCTATCTCAGTTCAAAATGCAAGAGGGAAATTCAGGTAATAAACAAAGCTGCAAGCATACATTAAAAAAAAAAGCCTAATTTAAAAGGCTAAAGTGTATTGAGGCTTTTTCACAAGTTTGCTTTGAAGCATAATTAGTTTGTTTACTAATGTTAAACACAGCTGTGAAAAACTGGAGGTTGCTTGTTATAGTTGATTCAAATATCGCAAGCATATGGAACACTTGTTAGTATTTTGACTGCTATTTTAATTTAATATTTTTACGTACAGCCCAAGATAGCATTTCAATTTTGTTATTTATGTAGTACTCAATATATATTTTCCTAGTCACTTGTTTTTTAACAAAATTACTTTTGCATTTATGATTTGCATAGGTAAAATGAGGGAGATGTCCTGAATTAAGACTAAAATCCCAAAAAGTGAAAGGCTAAACTTCAAAATTTACAATATTCCTTTCAAAAATGGAGAAACATAAGCCTTTCAAAATGTTGTACCCCAAGGAGCCATTTCAGACGATGGCTCAAATCAGTATTCGGGTTTGCATTTGGGCAGCTTGAATTCCTCCCCAGTCACTCTGCTTTGTTTCCTCCTGCTGGTTCCCAGCAAACCCCTGCCTGGCCACTGGGTCCTCTGTCTTTCTCTGTGACTATGGAAACGTCGATGTCCTGACTTCCTAGGGTTTCACGATTTAAGGCTTCCCAACTCCCAGACCAGTTTGCTGTTTGGCTTACCTAATTCTCAAGGCAGCAGGCTCGTATCTATCCAAGTGCCAGGCTTCCCGGCCATCGTGCGTCTTGCATAGTAAGTTGCCAAAGTGCTGGCCACTGGGCTTGGCCTTAAACCAAGTAAGTTTTGAAACAACTAATGTGCTGGTTGGTGATCAGTGGGAGCTGACTCACTTCTGAAAAATGCTTTGTTTTGTTTTCCCCACAGCTTGATTTTGTTTTTATTTGGAGATGGGGACGGATATTTCAAAACATTTTAAGGTGTTTCAGAAAAGTAGCTTGGGGAGGGAAGGAGAGAGATGGGGAGAGAGAGGGAACTGTGATGTGTTAGTTTTTGCCCATCAGGGATAGCATATGCTGCCCTGTGGGTTTCCCTGTCTCTTCCATAAACCTATGCTAATTTCTTCCTTGCTGCTGCAGCTTGGAGAAGAGGGCATTTAAAAATAAATAAATAAAGTATCTTGATCTAGATTTTTCCAGCCTTTAGGAACCAGCACCTGGCAAGTTAAGTGTGTTATTGGATACTCTTAGCTGGTGAATTTTTAAATTACTGTAGCGCTACTTCTGTTCTTGCTGTCTTTTTAAATTCCTTCACCTGGGATAGTCTTTTGCAGACTTTTGTACTGGGTATATTGTTGGAGGCAAAGCTGTCCAGATAAAATCTTCCCAAAGTTAGTCTTCAGTACATAATAAGAATATATATAAATCTTGCATGTAACCACTTATTGCTTCACTTTGTGTTTGGAAGCTGTTCTATTATATTTCTGTTTGTGGTCTCCGAGAACTTTAAACGTAACACAGAATTTGAATTTCATTCATTGAAAACCTATAAAGTTTAGGCAACTAAAGCAGAACTGTATTTTGTTAGTATAGTAACCCCCCTTAGAGTAACTAACTTGAAATAATGTTGAATTATCTGACACTTGCTACTCCAATACTGTCGTCGTTTGTTAGTCCACTTAAAATGGCAGGTTAGTATAGTAACCCCCCTTAGAGTGACTAACTTGAAATAATGTTGAATTATGTGACACTTGCTACTCCAATACTGTCGTTTGTTAGTCCACTTAAAATGGCATGAGCTAGCACTTCAGATGAAGTGCTGTCTGGCAAACAGAAAGCAATAGTAAGTGGAAAGGATGGATTTTTTTTTTGTGTGGTTTTGAGGGGGGGGAATTTTTTCAGTTTTCTGGGGCTTATGTAACGCTGGCTTAAATTGATTGTGGCAGTTGGAACAACAGGGTGGAAGCTCAACACCACTGAAATTACTGGCAGGGGAGATTGTAACTCCACCTAAAGATGGAAGAACACTGTGTCATCTAGTTCATTGCTATCAGATACGTTAAAAAATAAACAAATCACTTCTTGTTGTTATGGAGAATTCTTGTTTTGTATGACTGAAAGCATTTTTATGCTGTACATACAAAATCATAAAGATGAGTGGAATGAAAATATGAAAACTTGGTCCGGATACAAAACATACTCATAGCTAGAAAACCTCTTTTGAATGCAGACAGGTGAGTATTTTATGATTAGAAGTCTGTGTATTGCCCAGTTGTAGAAGATAATTTAAAAAGACTCCAGACTGCATAATGTCTTTGTTCTAAAATGTGCTTAAATGCTGCTTCTAGAACTGCATTTATACTACACTGCACTAACTGCACTGAACAAAATCTTCACTTCTTGGAAAAGACTACAAATTAGATTTAACAATTCAGTTCAGCAATTTCAAAGCTGCTGCTGTTAGTCCTGAAGGTAAGAACCAACAGTGTGAGGGTGCCTAAAGAAAGGGCTAGTACTGGAGAAAAATGGAAAGGAATGGCTAGTGTGGTGCAAAATATTAGCTTCCCCTATACTGTCTAAGCAGTTAAGCTCTGTTCCTGTTTTTCTTTTTTCCTCTTTTCTCCTTTTCTGTCCCCCTGCTGGTGACTTGCCATATGTACAGGTCAAATTTTTTTTTTTCTTCAGTCTGGAAACAAAATGATGATTCTCACCAGCTGAAGTGCAGTGCTTGAATTAGAATTTCTATGTGCTTATAAGTAATGCAAGGAAAACAATGCTCTCTGCTAAATTAGGATTTTTCACTTTGTTGCCTGCCTAGGACACCAAAATGGTTAGGTTGGTTTTCCGTGCTCCTGTAATACAGTACAAAAATAGTAAGATGTGAGCAGTGTTTATACTCTGTCATCTTGGTTCCGGTTTTGTTTTAGGAGGTAACAGAGTGAAGCTAACTTCATCTCCTCTTACATTGGTCCCTTCTAACCCTGACCGTTCTGTGATTCCATTCTGTGATGTTATGAACTAAGACATCTCTGATGGTATCTGCACTGGTGAAATACAAATCTAACATGAGTGTAACAGATTTTTCTGATGTTTTCAGTAACAAAGCCATTAACTTTTTGTTTGTCAGGTCTAACATAAAATAGATAATGTTATCTTTTATGACATTTTATCTTGTCTCAGTTAAGGAATGCAGAGCAGAGAGAACAAGGTCTGAATGTTGCCCTACTCAGCAGATCTCTCTGCATATGACCTCCTCGAGAGGCAACCTTTAGTTACTCAGTGACTACAGAATTGTGCTATCTTGTGTTTTTCTTGTAAGTCTGCTGGTCTGTTCTTTTTGTTATAATGATTGCAAGGGTCCCTTCCTTACAGATGCATAACTGACTACTTTTTTTACCCCTAGAGTTTTAACAAATTTTACATCCTGAACATAAAACAAAAATAACATCCTGTAACTAAAAGGAGTTTTCATCTGCAAATGATGCAGAAAATGCAAATAATTAAGCTGTGTGAACTTGTAGCCCAATTACCATATAACGAATTACAAAAGTAGAATCACTCCACATTAGAGGAGTGTCTGGTATGTCCTTATCAATATTGTGAGTTTGTGTAAAAGTGTATGTCAGCAGTTAAACAGAATATAC